TCATGGTCCCGGATATAAAAGTACTTTACATTGGCGGACTTAACATTACTATGTCACCTACGCTTAGTCCGTAGGTCTGTCCGTTGACCTATGAACCCCAACATGGCACCACCCTGCAATCAAGGTATACCTTCATTAATAATATTTATGGACTCAGTCCCCATCTCTGCACCACAGGAGTTATAGCCCTAGGCTCTTTTACTTATCTGCTTCAAAGTTCCCAATTTTATTACTCTTAATCAAGAATCTTAATAGTAACTTACATTTCCGTTCAAATTTTATTGCTTAGTATCGATGGGCATGATTGGTCTATTCTGATATCATTCCATTACAAAATGATTTACAAATTATATTTCATTGTATCAACAACAAAATCCAATTTGTTCTAACAAGATAATTCTAGTTCATGAACATTAAGACCCTTTTTCAATTACAAAGTCACTGTATGTTGTACACTAATAATGTACATCCTTGTTTAATAAACTTTTATTTCATTTTACTGTCACTACTAAGTTCACTATTAATAACTAAAATGATTATGATATGAATATAGTCCAAGTTTAAAATGTTCAAATAAAATGTCCGTTCTAATCACTGTTCTAAACAATATAGGTTTACAAAGTCCACACTTTGTATTTCTTATAAATATACATCGACAATTGCTTCCAAGCTTTTTAATTACAAAAGAAATTCTACAATTCCTAGATATCGAACATTTGATACATAATCATGTTTTTCTTCACCCTACAACCATAGTCCTGCTGGACACGTCATTACTAGTCATGTAAACATAGTTAATAATGAGGACCTTATATCCCTTATTTTAATAGGGCCAAAATTTAGGGAACCCCGTTCTTTCAACTGGCGACATAAGTTTATAAATGTTATGAATTATGTGGAAGATTACGCCAGGAGATGGGCCAAACACGAAAAAGAAGACCTTGACACTTTGTCAGAATGGATTAAGAACATCAGTTGGATGTTGAAATCTTGCATTAAGCGATTGAGGGGTTGTATGAAAACTATTTATCCTTCTGTCTTTAACAATTTAAAAGTAAAAAAGGAATTGGATAGATTAAACAATCAGTATGTACTGGTTCCAGCTGACAAAACTGGTAACAACATAGTCTTTGTTTGTAAGGCTCACTATTTGAATTGTATTTTAGAGGAACTAAGATTTAATTCTATGGTCGATAAAATGACCTTGTCAGCAAACACAATTTATCATTAAGTCAAATGCTGACTGACGTTTTTCATACAAATTGTTAGGCCATTTTTTACACACTGAATTGTCGACGGTTTTTTCCGTTATTTCCCAGTCATGACAAGGAGCACACGGCGGGTGTGAACGGTCGGCAGGGGATGCTCACTCCTCCATGGCACCTGATCCCACCTCTGATGTTTGGAGGTCCGTGTTTGCTCTGCTCCTATTTTGTATTGTTTGATTGACTTTTGAGCCTGAATACTGTTCGTTATCTTCATTATTTCATTCTACGGGTGGAAATCCAACTTACACCCATACTTCACTTTCTAAGGAAGAAATTCTTCAAAATCATATGTCCGTTTCAGATACTTTCAATATTCTCAACAATCAAAATGAATTTGAATTCCCATACCTTTACTGGATTCCTAAACTTCATAAAAATCCTTACAAACAAAGATACATAGCGGGTTCCAGTATATGTTCTACCAAGCCCCTCTCTTTACTCCTCACTAAAATATTTACTGTAATGAAGGAGAAACTCTAGGAATACTGTACAACACTATATTCGAGAAGTGGTGGAAATCAGATGTGGAACTTAAAAACTCCAAAGAACTTTTAGAAAATTTGAAATCACAAAATTTTAATAAAATCAATAGCATCAAAATGTACGACTCTTCAAAACTTTATACAACCATTCCCCACTATAACTTGAAGTCCAGGATTTTTGACATCATAGACAGCTGCTTTTTCAATAAAAATGGTACTCGTAAATATGCTTAGCTTGTCATTGGTCATTTACAGGATTATTTGTAAAACACTCTGATTGTACACACAAGTACACTGAAGTTGATATTAAAAAGATGCTTGAGTTTCTGATTAACAATATTTATGTAGTTTTTCGAGATCAGGTCTTCCAACAATCTGTTGGAATTCCCATGTGAACCAATTGCGCCCCCTTATTAGCAGACCTATTTTTGTATTCATATGAAGCAGAATTTATTCAAAAACTTCTACATGAGAAGAAGAAAAATCTTTCAACTCGACATTTCGATATATCGACGACCTATTATCAATTAACAATAGTTACTTTCATTCATATGTCGACTCGATATATCCCAGCGAGCTTGAAATAAAAGATATCACAGATTCTGACACATCTGTTTCATATTTAGATATATTACTAGAAAAAGACGTTAATGGTAATCTAACAACTAAGGTTTATGATAAACGTGATGACTTCAACTTTTCAATCGTCAACTTCCCTTACTTATGTACCAATATACCGTTGTCACCTGCATAGGGGGTTTATGTCTCTCAGTTGATTCGATACGGAAGAGCATGCTCTACGTATGTACAATTTCTAAAATGAGGAAAGCTAATGACAAACAAGTTAATGAAACAAGGATATCAACAGTCTCGTTTGAAGTCATCTTTTCGCAAGTTTTATGGTCGACACAATGACCTTGTCAGCACATACAACCTTCATTGAGTCAAATGCTGACTGACATTTTTCATACTAATTTTAGGCCATTATTTATACACTGAACTGTCTACGGATTTCTCCGTTATTACCCGATCATGACAAGGAGCACACGGCGGGTGTGACCGGTCGGCAGGAGATGCTCATTCCTCCATGGCACCTGTTCCCACCTTTAAATTTTGAGGTTCATGTTTGCTCTGCTTCAAATTTGTATCGTTTCATTGGACTTTCGAGATTAACTTCTGTTCGTTATCTTCATATTTCATTGGATCAAGGTGCAATGTCCTATTTTTTTCTTCTCCCAGGCATGTAGCTAGAGCTCGCAGTGAGAGGAGCGGTTATAATAATATCTATAGCTTGTTATTTTATATTCTCTTTATCCAACAAGTTGAGGATTGTCACTGTAGCTCAGTTGGTAGAACGCTTGCTGCGTGATTGGAAGATCAATCCCTGGTCGCGACTGACTTATGTCGATAAAAATAGTTCCTTTGTTAAGCTCTAGGCATTTTGATTTGATACAAAAATCATAGTACATTTTCATACATATGAGTAAATTTATCCATACATATGTCACCGTGCTGCATTTCAGTTATGATACGCAGGAGGAAAATGACGTTTCCCAAAATCAGTGAAATGTGTTTAGTATTGAAATAGGGATACGATACTTTTTTACATCACTGGGCAAAGGGCAATAATTCTAGTTTTCTTGCTTTCCTTTTCTTGACCTTTTGGCACTGCATGAGAATCTGGTTCATTGTCGTGAACGAGGTTGTTTAATCAATCTTTTTAGGTAAGCTGATGATATTTCCATATTTTAATAATTTGATTGTTTGAGACAGTATCTGTTGAGAAAATATCCTTGAAAAGTTGAAATATTCTTTCATGCTTGCTCTAGTGCACATAACCTTTTAAACAATTACAATATGTTCACGATTATGTCAATCCTAAGTTATTTACATTCCGTTCCATGTTTAAAAAATCCTTTCACAGCGATTTCAATACACTGTCACCCGAGAAACACATAAACAGGAAGTAAAAATAAGTCAACATTCCGTTGACATTTCATTTCTCTTTGTCGAATAAAAATAAAGTTAATTATACAATATAAATGTGCCAAACGATATCTATTAGTATGCTGAAGGTGTGGGGCATTAAACACAGATCTCTGTAAAACACACACACACACACACACACACACACACACACACACACACGCTTGAAACAAGTTTCAGTACTCGATAGTCCGCTTAATATAAAACATACTTTTACTAAAATGCGAATATACCTATAGGTACTTAAGCGAGCAAATATATAATTTCATAATTGTGAACTTGAAATAACCGACCTTAACAACTTTATTAAAAAACTTTGTCCAACCAATGTCTTATTTAGAGATAGTGAATCCATTTTGTACAAAATTCAAGTGATGCTTTCAAAGTATTTTATGAGCATTGTGAGAAAAGCCCGAGAAGTTGAAAATGTACTTAGAGAAATGGTATCTTTGCCATATTATACTCTGTTAATATCGATCATCAAAGATATTTCGTGACTATGCCATACAAAGCTTTTAAATAAAATGGTTTATAATCAACCAAACTTGATAAAATGAAATATGGTGATAACGAAGAATATTCAAGCTCAAAGTCCAATTAAACTATACAAATCGGGGGCAGAGAAAATAAAGACCTCCAAAAACATTAGAGGTGGGGTCAGGTGCCAAGGAGAAGTGAGCATCCCTTGGCGACCGGTCACACCCGCCGTGTGCTGCTTGCTCACATCCGCTTTTGTATTACAACATGGATTTCTGGACATTATTATGGTTTCACATGTGTTTAAAGCACATGTAATATTAGAAAGATTTACATTTAAGATGAAAAAAAAATAACATTGATTAATATCTTCAGGAATCTATTTATAGTTTACATGTACATATAGTAGTATAGTCCTTTCTTGATAAAATTAATTCAAAATAAATGAAAAATATCATACAATTATTAACTCCGATATAAACACCTCTAATGAAAATAATTTAATAAGTTTTATTCGAACGAAAAAAAATGAAACGAATCCCATTTGTAGAAGTCTTCTCTTTCTCAATCTTTATCTGTTGAGCATAAACAATAAAAATAATGATTAAAAAAGGTATGATAAGAAACTTATAATTTCTAAAATTTAATAATTTCGAAATAAATATAACAAACAGTGATCGATCTTAAAAAACCACAAACAATTCAAATATGTGAAGACTAATATCGGTTTGAAATATTTCAGAAAACATAAAAATAAAAAAATAAAAAACAATCCTGCGTATTTCAGCTAGTGACGTTTGATCATCATTAAAGTGTCCTTTACATTGGAATTATCGTAGAGTGTAGGATGCCAGACAAAGGTCCAGTCTTCTGGATACCAGGGACCATTCAGGAAGGCATAGTGGCAATGATTGAACCACCAGCCTCCTCTCCATGTAGCAGCACAGCTACCACTCCATCTGTCATTGTCCCTGTCTGGTGTACTGAATGACATCCCAGACAAAACAGCACGAAAATAATTAGTGTACAACATACTGTCACCTATAAATTTTTTTTAAAAAATTAGAAATATTAGAAAGATAGCATTTGCTAAAAGAATTATGTTTGCCAAGAATACAAAAACAAGTGTGCTTATAAAATAGCACCATATAAGTATTTACGGGAATAAATTGTCTCCAGAGACAAAAAAAGATATTGAGAACTTACAGAATCTTTCATTTTAAATCTATTACTTACCTAAGGTCCCGATAGCTGGTCCCCCGAGAAAGAGTAGGTAGAGGCTTGCCTCATCAGAAATGGAGAACTTGTTATATATTTCGTATAAATTAGTGTCATTTTGAAGTGTAATTGAGACGTATAGGGAAGGATTTATTCCCTTGGTAAGCTTGTGAATGACGTCATTACCTTAAATATATAATAATGTTTTTATTTCAGGATTACAGTTTTACCTAATACAACTCATGCAATGTAAAACAGATATATCATAAATTAATATATCATTATTTATGCAGAAAGTAATATGCTAAATATTAAAGACTTTCGTTCTGAGCACTTACACATGTCCACTAACCCGAAATTGATTATCAATGGTCTGTGTATTTCCAAAGAACGCTCGCTGACAAAAAAACAAAATAATAAAAAGTATTTTTTTTTTTGTTTGATATTTTTTAATGTCTCTTTCGAGATTTTCTCACTCATATTGAGATGCCACCACTTGTCGATGGAGGGCTGTAAATTTATACCATTACTCGGCACTCAGGGCCTTTGAGCAGTGACGGATCTTTTTCTTCTTTTTGGGGATCAAACCCCTTACTCTGCGACTCTCGAAAAAATGCAATAACCTCTGCGCCATGTGCACGTCGTGATGAAGACAGAGAGTAAAAAAAGTCCCCTAACTTTGTTCAGAAAATTTAACAAAAGATTTAACTCAGTGTTTACCAATCCAATAAGAGTCTTTTGGGTTGCCAAAGCCATTTCTATACTCCGCCCACGTTCTGTTAAATCTCACAGATCCGCTTCTTCGTTTTTGGATTGCCTACGGATTGCGATGTATAGAAACATATTCTTAATACATGAATACTATACACAATTGAAACATCATTTAAAGTATGCAGTTTTGCGAGTGAAATTCTGAATTTAAAGCAATTGTTTAGTCTTTTTATTTGTATAATCAATATCTATAGAAAAATACGTCGGGAAATTTCAAAGATGCCTTTTGTTAATGGTTTTATCTTTAAAGTTGTTTTTTTTTTTTTTTTTTTTTTTTTTTTTTTTTTTTTTTTGAAAGCAAAAAGAAATCTTATTGTGATTACACGAAATATGAGAGAGAGAGAGAAAAAAAATATTACTGTCCATCCACCACCTTCTGTCACCATGTCACAGTACACGTCTACCAGGATCTCGTTATCTAACGGATTTATTTTATATACACCAGATTGCGTTTGTCCATTAAGGTAGATGTCTTTGCAGTCTCTGTTTAGTTTTGCATCTGTATCTGCATGAAAAAATGGAAGCAATAAAATCATTAAAAGATTATAATAATTAAAAGCAAATTCCTTATGAACAATTGTAGGATTGAAAATAATTCCTGGAAAGTCTGCTTTCCCCATACATGTAAAAGCCCAGATGATGAATAAAACTGCTCCGTTCGTGAATTTAAGAATCCACTACAAGGAGCTTGTCACTTCTCCTAAGAATAGGAGGAAGTAATTTTTACTAATTGTATAAAGGTGTAATGAAAAAGGTGAAGATAAGGAACAGGAATCGATCTAAAAAAATCTATAAACAATTCAAGTTCTGTGAAGAGGGCATGAAACATGGGTCCATGAACATTTTAGACCAGGTGCTTAGGAGGAGTAAGAATCCCCTGTTGATTGGTCACACCAGCTGTGAGTGTTCAATGTATTGATAAAGTAGACAGAAACATATTGTTAAGTTTTCAAGTTTTATCATAATATTGATTTTATCATAAATAAAATGTGCTTATGACACTGGGGCCTTCAATTACATACTAGTAGTTAATAAATAATTAAGATCCGTACTTCTTAAATTTTGCAGAATCAAAACAAACAATTTTATTTCAATGATTTTTTAAAATTCTTTTCTGTTTATGGGGTATCCAGAAAAGTTAATGATTATCTTGCTCCCTTACCTTAGGGATAAGACCCTTTGTGGATATTTGTGGGTATTTCATGAAAGATCTAGGAATTTGTAACAACCTCGTCTGTTTACTAACTTATTTACTGTAAGCTTCCTTTCTCTATCTAGAGTTTTAAAACTATTTTTATAAACCTAATGAATAAAGTTTTGTGTTTAAAACCCGGTAAGTAAATAATCTAATATCGTTCTTGTTCAGTCAAGCTTCTAAAAATGAATAAATGGGTTTTTAAAAGACATCACATTTGCAAAGGTTCACTTGGATAAAATTTTTCACATTTTCAGAACCTTTTTATAACTGCTATCTACACAATGAACATCATGCCAAACAGCAATTATCAAATAGACAATAATGCAGTTTTTGATTCTTAATTAATCTATGTACAGTCTGTATATGTGAAATCACAAATAAAATCTAAGAATTAAAAAAATGCTACGTCAATTTTCAGTATCTAGCAGCAACATATAAATGCACCAGCAGTCACACTAAATATTCAAACAAACATTAGCCATAATCAGCACAATCTCAGGAATTATATTTCTTTATCAATAAATGCTAGAATTGTCATCTTTTTTATGGTTTAGTGGAGATTGTTTGAAAAATCAACAGAACAATTTTATCTCCAACACATTTTTTCATATATAAATTGTAAATTACGAAAGTGTCAATATCTAGGACTCTAGCATAGAAAAAATAGGAATAGACTCAAGCATAAATGGAATCATAAGTTACACAACATATGGATTATGATGACAAAAAAGGGCAAGTATGTACAAATATCAAGTAAAAAGACAGCTTGTGAATAGAGCAAACATTTTCCTATAAAAACAGTGGTGGGAACTAGTGTCAAAGAAGAGGAAGCATCCGCTATCAACTGGTCGAAGTCAATGTGTGCCCATTGTCATGATTGGGTTGACAAGTGATATGGTAGGCCAGTATTGGATCAAATGAGAGATTGCGTTGAGTACAAGATCTTTCTATCGATCATAGAATTTTCGAAACGATAACTTTTAACGAGTTACTCATATGCTTTGCTTCATAAAATGTTTATGGAAATTTATCCAGAAAGAAGTGTTACACTCTTCTACGTTGTATCACTGTTTTTTTTTTTTTTTTTGTTTGTGTGTGTGTGTGTGTGTGTGTGTGTGTGAGGGTGTGTGTGTGTGTGTTTAGGGCATTCCACCTTTCTGTGGAAAGTCCTATTGAAATTGATCTGTTTATTATTATTTTTCTTCCGCTGATTTTTTGTTTCACAACTTATCGAAGAGACGCATCTTTCATATTAGTCGACTACTTAAATGATTTTCAGATTTGACCCAACGACTTCGATCGATGACATTTAATGAAGTTGTTGCCCTTTTCGCAAGAATAGCTTGTTTTCGCTACTCCTCTGAAACCACAAACCGTAGAGATACAGAACCTTCACCAATGCTTTCCACTAATAGAGAGGGCTTTCCAATCTATCATTGCGAAAGGATTCATCGAAGCCTTATACGAGTTATTGCCCCTGAAGTTTTTTTGCTGTTGATGTAAACTTGAAAAAAAATTAACGCTGAGTCATAGAGACATGGGACCAACTGAAATGGATTCTTGCATTTTTGTTCTTGATATTTAGGTCAAGGTCAAAGGTCAAAGTCATCCAAAATATGAGAAAAAGAGAATATATGAAAGGGGGGTTAAACCAATATAAATGTATGAAATAAACTATTCCACGCTTTAATTATCTTCATTTCTTCTTAAAATGCATGTAGAACATTTTATTTATCATAGCTGCATTTAATATAACCCACATGGAAGCTTGTTTCATTCAGGAATCTTCATACTGAACCTGCAACAATCTTAGGATCCGCAGTCAGGCCGCTTTGAGTCCAATCCATGTTTTCCAATATGACGACCTACATACCATTAGCCTCGAATCATTTATATCATCGGTACTTTTCTAAGTAGTTTAACTAAATCAGAACATTTCACATCTCAAATTAAACCTTCGAATGCATAATGCACAGAAATAAAAATACGTACAGTAAAACACATGCCATGCATTGTACTTCAAAGGTAACTATGTAAACAAATGCCATCAACACGGAAGCAAAAAAAGAAAAAAGAAGAGAGAGAGAAAAAAAGAGAGGAAGAGAAAGGAAGAGAGAAGGGGAAAGAGAGAAAAATTGGCCCAATATATAAATCGCAAAAAAAATGCGCGAAGACCTTTTGAACTCTAAAGAGAAACGAGCCCGACAATAAATCTATAGCAAAAGACGAATTTTTTAGTTTTATTTATTTTCTTGTATTTTTCTTCGTCGTCTTCTCCTTTCTTTCTTTCTTTTTTTCTTTTGAAAAACAAATGATATGGAAACGTTTCTCAAAACTATTCAATTCTGATAACTACATTGTACAACATTTTTTTAAAATTCCTAAATAGGTAGTTTACTGCATACATCTTCATTGGAATTGGTGGCGTAGTGGTTAGCGCCCCTGCCTTTCAAGCTAAGGGTTCTGAGTTCAATCCCTGCTGGAAAAACATTTTTTTTTTCATCTTTTTTTTCATTTTTCTTCTTTTTTACAACCCAAATTACATGAAAATACTTAAAAAGGTGGAAAGACCTCTAATTGTTCTGTGAACAATTAGTCTACTAGTTTTTGTGTGTGTGTGTGTGTGTGTGTTTAAATAAATTAATTATAGAAATCCTAAGCTTCTGATTCAAATTCTGGAATTTCCAGGCCTTCGTGTTTATGCAATGTTCACAAATTTGTGTTGTTTGTAGTTTTTATGAGAACGATCACTGTTCGTTATCTTCACCTTTTTTTCATTCAAAAGTGTTTTTTTTAATTTATACAACGGTGTTCAAAGATTCCAATCAGAATCCAGATTGTCAATTCAAGTATATATTTTTGTAAAAGACATTTAATCTGTACTTACTATCTCGAAGGAAATAAAATGTTTCTACAATACTTACCTGTTGACGTACGGTTGGTCAGCAAAGCTCTGATCGCCATGTTGTCCTGTCGTAGTTGCTCTACCTCTTGCTGGAGATTTCTTTGCTCGACCATCACTGTTTGAAATTGATCTATTAGCTTTTCAATGCAATTACAGTCATTCTTTCCATTCAAATAAATGTATTGAGAACGTGTAGACAACAAGCCGGACATGAAAAAAAATGTCAATACTATTGCCATGATTTCAGTTCCCTAGTTGTCTTAACTAAAGTGGTTTTAAATATATGCACGTTGAAATACCCGCTTAACAGGAAGTGTTAAGAAACAACTTATGTGACTTAGTTTAAATACAAATCTGTGAGCAGGATATAAAACACGGTCCTTTAGAGGTGGGATCAGGTGCCGAGAAGCCGGTCAAACCGATCGTGAGCCCTTTGTATTCATTTTCAGAAGGCTTGCGAAGGATAATATTATTTATTACATTTAAATCAGTAAAAATCTGTAATGCATGTATTGAATAAAAGGGATATTCTGTCACAATATGAAAGGATATTATAGTCATATTTAGTCAAAGTGTGATGAAATTTCAGAAGTCCTGCATAACTCTCGATTTTCCTTCTTTTCACGACCTGACCTATTAAATGATAAACAGAGTAACTGAAGCATCCTGACAGATAATTAACCACTAAAGTTTCTCAAAATATGTTGTTGAAATCCACGTTATCATTTTTTTCTATTCTCACAGTTGCTAAGATATGCAGTCTTAACCGTCTTAACTCTCGATTTTCCTTCCTTTCACGACCTGACCTATTAAATGATAAACAGAGTAAATGAAGCATCCTGACAGATAATTAACCACTAAAGTTTCTCAAAATATGTTGTTGAAATCCACGTTGTCATTTTTTTCTATTCTCACAGTTGCTAAGCTATGCTGTCTTAACCGTTCAACTATGATGGTACAACCTATGACACCGTGCTTTAAAAAAGACAGTGGGAAAAGGGAAATTTAAAAAAAAATAATAAACAGAAAATTCCAAAGTTTTGTAGCTGGATAATGAATTTATTTTACTCGTGAGATAAGATGTTAAGATATTTTCATCTGTGCTTTGTACCGTGAAAATATCCAGAAATCCTGTCCCACTCGTGAAATAATTTCAATATCAAAGTACAACAATTAGATATCATTTTTTGTTAATTAGCTTTAATTTCGCCTTTACTTATACACCAGACAGTCTCCTGTTGCAAATCAAATTTTAGCTCATCCAGAGACTTAATTGTTTTTAAATATATTTAACTGTACGCATATGTAACATTAAAGATGAAATATGAAGAAACAATCTAAAAATGTAAATTTCTTTGAATGATTATTATTTAAATATTTGTTTATATATATATATATATATATATATATATATATATATATATATATATATATATGTATATGTATATATATATATATATATATATATATATATATATATATATATATATATATATATATATATATATATATACACACACGTAGTCGTATATCAAAAAAATCACAACACCGAAATAAACTTTACCGGTTTCATTTTCAATCTTCAGGAGTTTCATGGATGGCAATTTGTTACCGGTTACTCGGTCGGAACGATGGCAATCGATTAGAAAATCTGTAATCGGTTAGTCTGAAAAAAAATAAAATACGTGTAAATTTCCTTAAAACTCGATTTACAATGTTTAAAAACCCTCTAAATATTGATAAAATATGACGTTTTCAAATTTATTTCGGCTGATTTGAAGGTAAATAATTAAGACTCTCAAGATTGAAATCGTTGGGGTAATTGGTCAACTGCAAAGTGCTGTTTAAACACCATGTCGTTATCCAGACTGTCCTAAATTTCTTTAATAATATTAATTAAATCTTTGTTGAATTCTGTTAAATGGTTTAAATGATTGCAATGTGTATCTTACCCGTCTATCCTTCGCAGTTACCTGTCAAATTATATTTTTAAACAAACATTGTAAATTATGTGACAGTTCAGAGTCAGTGTTCGTTTATGGTGACAATGCACAACGACCTTGTGTTGTAACATAATTATCAATTTCTTTGATATCTAAGATATGTTTCATGGTTACCTTTTTTTTTGCCTCTCGAAATTGAAATAAAATATCATATAAAGCGTATGAATACAGCAGTAAATGAATATTACTAACGTATTTTTTTCAATTTTCTTGTGTACATACCTATAGTTTATTTGAAAAAATATAATATCAGGAAAATATGTATTTTGATACGATTAACCGATTAATCGGCCGGGACGTCTTGCGGTTAACCGATTCTGTATTCGATTATTCGATTGCCATCCCTAATATATATATATATATATATATATATATATATATATATATATATATATATATATATATATATATATATATATATATATATATATATATATATATATATATATATATATATCTGTGTGTGTGTCTGCTTGTGTGTGTGTGTGTGTCTACATTCGAGAGAAAGAGCAGTTTAATTTAACAAAGGCTGCTTTGTCGGAGTAAAACACATAAGTTAAGGTGTAAGGTGATAAGGTGTAATTGCATGACTTTATAAATCTTGTCTTATTATGAATAGAGCAATACATTGTAAGCAGCTCAAACACGAACCTTTACAAACATCAGAGCTGGAATCAAGTACCATTGAGGAGTAAATATGTCCTGTCGACTGATCAAACCCACTGTGTGTTCCTTTTCATGATCCAAATGGCAAATAGTAAAATTCGTTTATTATTCATTCTTAACGAAATGGCTTAACAATTAGCATTAAAAAACCTAAGTCAAAATTCGAATTAATGATAGACTGTGATTGTTAACTAGGTCATTGTATTAACCATAGATATTGCAGAATGTTGACTTTAAACGAGACAGTCTATAACCTTATGTTATCAATTTATTTTTCAATAGCTTGCCTCGTTTTTTACGGTTAACGTCAAAGCGAGGATAACTATTTTTTTTCTTAGGATGCCCTACCTATAATAATTAGAGATCGATACTTTTTGAAAGTCTTCGAATATAATATAATTAGAAACCAGGTATTAACTTAAAAACTCATTGTTCAATTTTTGAAGCAGTCCAACTGTATATCAAGTCTTCAAAAAAGATTTTGATATCATTAAATTTTTAAGTCTTATTATTTTTTAAAAAAATATTTTCATAAAATACTTACCAGGGTTGTCCCAAAAAGTCGTAGACAATGTTAATAACTTTGTGATCATTAGACAAATACTTACCAAATTTTGCATAACTATCATATATTCAATGTTCTTGAAAATAGTGAATTCTTAAATAAATGTCTTTCATAATAAAAATCAAATGACGATTTATATAAAGGCCGATATGGTCTGTCAGCGCATAATCAAAATCAGGAATAATTTACTTTTGTAACTGTTCCAATTGGATTAGTTTCTCTGATAATATGCACAACTTAAAACTTAAATTTACGCCAGTTAAATCGAAAACAAGATCTTAGTAATACGTCAAAGTTTCACATAAATGGCATCAGGGAAGCACAAATACTTGCAAATGATATGCATGGAAGTTTATATGTAGAAGATTTTGTTCTTTGCTATAAATCCAAAAATATGAATCATATTGAGCAAAAGTTACAATTGTGTCTCAACAAAATCCAAAGTTCGGCTGATGAGAATGGTTTTAAATCTTAAAAATAAATTAAACTGCTTGTTTGCATTTTTTCTGCAAACAAAAAGCACATGATGACGCACATTTACAACTAAATGGAAACCCTATAAAAGTGGTGAAAGAGATTAAGTTTTTAGGCGTTATCTCGCATATTAAAATGCTTAAAGGGAAATGTATTAGATGTAATCAAGGTTATTGCAAACGCAAAATGGTGGAGGGGAATAAAAATACTCTTATAAAACTCTATCGGTCTTAATCCCGATAAACTGTGCTTCGACTCTGCTTAGGGGCTTTCCGAACTTCTCCTGTGGATAGCTCGTATGTTGAAGCGGATGAACTACCTCTCGACTTAGGAGGACTTAAACTCACCTTACAGTCAGACTTGGGGACAATTACCCTAAGTTTAGATCAGTCTCTCATGTTAGTTCCTCATTTTATTTCAAATAAATTATAAACATTTCATACTATATGTTTTATGTAAAAAGATATTTAATTAACTGATAATGCTATAATTATAAAACTAGTATGTATTAATAATTGAATGAATAAACACTTGTAATTAAATGGGCGAGCATAATCAATGATATAAATTTAACACAACAGTAGTGAAGGAGAAACTTCAAGAGTACTGTGCAACAATATATTCGAGAAGTGGTGTAAATCAGATGTGGATATTTAAAAATTCCAAGGAAGTTTTGGAAAATTTGAAACCACAAGAATTTACCAAAATCAACAGCTTAAAAACTTACGACTTGTCAACTTAATACACAACCATTCCCCACGATAAATTAAAGTCCAGGCTTTTTGATATCATTGATAGCTGCATTTTCAATAAAAAATGGAACTCGTAAATTTACGTACCTTGTCATTGGTCATTTGCAAAATTATTTTGTTAAAAAACATTCTGATTGTACACGCAAGTACTCTGAAGTTGACATTAAGAAGATGCTTGAGTTTCTGATTGAGAATATCGATGTGTTTTTTTTAGACCAGGTCTTCCAACAATCTATTGGAATTCCCGTGGGTACCAATTGCGCCCCGTTATTAGCAAACCTTTTTCTGTATTCATATGAAGCAGAATTTGTCCAAAATCCAATACGTGAAAAGAAGAAAACACTTGCTGTTGCCTTCAACTCGACATTTAGATATATCGACGACGTATTGTCAATTAACAATGGTTATTTCCATTCTTATGTCGATATGATATATCCCGGTGAGCTTGAGATAAAAGATACCACAGAGTCTGACACATCTGTTCATATTTGGACATTTTACCTGAAAAAGACGTTAATGGTAATCTAACAACCAAGCTTTATGATAAATGCGATGACGTTAACTTTTCAATCGTCAACTTCCCTTACTTACGTAGCAATATACCCTTGTCACCTGCATATGGGTTTTATGTCTCTCAGTTGATTCGATCCGGA